CCCCAAAACCCCAAAACCCCAAAACCCCTTAGAGAAGATTTACTGAAATAATAGAAAGAAAATATAAATTATAAATATAGAGATCACTAATATGAATTACTAAAATAATAATTGGAATTAATATTTTAAATGAATTCAATGATAACATCAGGAAACACATCTCCTGACAAATCCTAGAATAAACCAGATCTTTACAAATCTAGTGACGGGCATCACTATAATTAGATGATGGATGAAAGCAAATAAACAGAGGAAGCTGATATATCGAGATCAGATTTTACTGAGACTCATTCCCAAGACACTTTGAGAAATATATAAAGACTGAGCGAGGCAAAATTGCTGAAAGGTGAGAATTTGGAATTGAGAGGAAGAGGCTTGGAAAAAATCACTAATAACTATTAAAATTTGAATGAGGAAGGTGACTCAGATCGAATCCAAAGTTTAAACAAAAATCAAAGACTTAAAGATTTGATTCTAGACAATAATATCCATCTGAATGCATATACTTAAGACGAGGAGGAAAAAACGCAAGACCTTATCAAAAATGACTTACTTGTAAGTGAATTAATTATTCATTCATTCTAACTCTTCATTATTATAGGATGATTAATTAGAGGATTTGCATAATATATCACCTGCCTTGCAATAAAAGACAAGGCAGAGCAGAAGAGCAATTACGGACGAAATAGATTATGATTAATAGACAAATCCAAATAAAAGCAATCAGGATAGAAATTAGGTTATTCCCAAAAAATCTAATAAAAAAAAGATAAGTACAATGTCGCTTAAACAGACTTTGCCCTCTTTCAAGTTAAATGTGCCTTTATCAGTCTCAACAAGTGAAATATTTGAAGTATTTACGAGCATCAGTAAAGCATAGAGATTTCAAATAATTGAAATGGAACAAAGTTTAGCTACTGCAGTTAATAAAGAACCATTCTCAATAAAGAAGATGTTTATGAGATGTATACCATTTTCAGATGGTAAAAATAGTTAGTAAAATGACTCATTCATATCTGCTATCAGAATTTAAATCAGCGTAAATGAGTAGAAATGCTGTAGAAAAATCCATTTAAAGGGATTATATGGTGAAATAACCCGCTTATAAGAGTTCTCTAATTCATTTAAAAACAAAATTAATGAAATATCTGAGTAGGCATAAATTCATTCTAATAGAGGTGGCAAACTAATGACATAAGCCAAAAAGACTTCAAATAACAGTCTGGTGAATCTATCTACTGCATTTAATTAAAGGAAATAGAAAGGAATGAAAAAAGGAGCGTAAATTCTTTAAGATGATGACAGTGATCAGGAAGCTAAATATGGAACATACAATGAAACTAGCTCTATTTATTAAATCCATAAAATTCTCTCAAGCGATTAATATACATTAGGCAAAAATGTTTCATAATACATTGAGTGTTTCCATATGTAATACAAATCTATTAAGGAGTCAGCCCAATTATTACCTCAGCCAGTAAATTTTTATGTTATAATTTTTATAGATGGAGGGTATTATGGAGCTGATAAATGATACAGTCAATTAATTCTAATCCTAATATAACCTTGGAAAGGATAGCGCTAAAAGTTTGATGCAATATTGTAGACCTTCAGTTGAAAAATATGTCTTCCAAAAAGTATGCTATTTTACTAAAATCAAATTTATTACTATAGCTATATGACAAGTTATTTGCTATGTACGCTTGTAAGAACGAAAGAGATGATATGATATTCGTTGAAAGAAGCTCTATTATAAAAAAGATGAAACCCTTTGATGTCATGCTTTATCTTGGGATTAAAGAAAAATTCCTAATTGGAGATAATTTGGCTAGTATTACTGGCCGCTCATCATATCTCTATTCAGATTAGAATAAGCAATATATGTCATAATAAAGAGAAATTTAATCTCCATTCAGATAAGATATAGATAGTAACAATCCATTAAAAGAATCCGAGATGGCATTATATGAAAGTAATCGAACAGATACATAGTCAATCGTGTAGTCACATCTTGAGCACCATTTCAATTTAAATAACAGCTCAACATCCAGTAGTTTGGGACTTGGCTAGATAAACAAAGTTGACCTTCCCTATCAAGAAGCCATCAAATAACTTGAAAAAATTCAATCTTACTAAACCCCTAGGGAAAAACTCCAATGTCTGAGTGAATCCTTTCAAAGCTTAAAAACTACTATTGTTGATCATTACAAGGGTAAATTTGAATTGAGTGCTATGGATGATGTCCTACCACTAACTATTTATACTGTAGCTATGGCAGATCTAAGCCATATATAGAGTGAATTTAATATAATGGAAGATTTTTTGAGCATTTACGATAGAGGTTTCGATTTTGAAAAGAAACTTCTAACAAATTTAGATGTTTCAATCAAATATGTGAACTCTGAATGGGAACTTTGAGACTAATATAAATGATTAGAAAACTTTATAATCTTCTATTTCAACTCTACATATAAAATGCTCGAGACTTAGACTAAAATTTTCGTTTGATTTAAATAATTAAGAGATTAAGCAGTATTTAATTATGTATATTAAAATACAAGCACATATAATATTTCCTTGCAATTATAATCATTAGTGTTCTTAGCAAGGTTGTTCATTTAGTCTAGCCAGACTCATTTCTCAGTTCCTATTCCTGCATTCTCATTTCTGTCTATTGTAAATCAAAATGCTTGGCATCAATTTTAAACCCAAACTGTTCTAAATCTTCTTTCATCAAATCTGCATTAAGGTCGAGGAAAAAGTATTTTTCAGACAATCCCATCTATTCAAGCTCATTCAAGAAAATAGGCCTAAGAATAGCTACATTGAAAGTATAAGTCAGGAGTCCACTAACACCTAAAACACCAGGTAATCTGAATAATCTTCTTTAGAAAATCTAAGTTTTATTTAGTAATAGTCTGTTTGTAATTAAAGAAAACAGTGAGAAGCTAATGAAATTCTCTACTCTATGCTACCATTTGATATAAAACAATTTCTCATCATCCCCTCTAGTTAAATACGGGTGGAATTCTATGAGTTCTGTGTAAGCTGATCGAGGAATATCATACCATTCTAGGGCGTATAGCATTTGCATAATTGTTGGATTAGCAAGTACCTCTGTATTCTCAACGAAATACTTTTCCTTGACATATTCCTTAAAAGTATCTTCAAGGTAAAGATTCATTGGCTCATATAGTTCTGGGTTTTCAAGTTTGTCAGCCAATTCTTATCTTTATTTTAGACTCATGTTTTGTTTGAGGTGATTTTAATAGATATTAATTTATATATAAATATAAAATATTTTAAATTAATGCAAAAAGAGATAAAGCAGTCTCAATAACATTTTAATTAAAGCACAAACTTAAACTTGAACATGAACCACGCTTATAAAATTCCTAGAATTCGAAGTTAGAACTTAACATATGAAGTTGAGAATGATGTAATTAGATTACTTTCTGAAGTTATTTAGTAGGAATAAGGAGGAAAGGCATCAGATGGAATTTTAAATATATGGCTAAAAAATGAGAACATGAGCTTGCTTGACAGCTATCTACTTTAGATTTAAAAGAAATTCATTGGATATAAGTATAATATATTCATACTCAATGAAGTAAGTCTACCCATTTCATTACATATAATCATTAAAGAGAGCTTTAAGGATACAAACAGCTTTCAGGAGGTACAGATTCAAAAAGTATAGGTCTCGCTTATATCAGAGATGCATGCGGTAAAGCAGCTCATAGCAACAACTTATTTTGCCTAAGCTTGCGATACATCAGAAATAAAACTCATAGTAGCATGCCTTAGAGAGAAGCTAATCTTCGTATTTTAGTTGCAGAGGCCTTTTTGAAGATAAACAGACTCCTACTAAGTCAGAAAGAAAAAAATCTGTGTCATTCAGTGACCCTTTGGAAGAAGTGTATATTGTCGAAAGTTTTAAATCTCAAAGACCTAGGAGTGCTGATAAATACCGAAGAAGAAATAGATATGAGAGAAATTTCATAACCTCAATAGTAAATCAGTAATTACAGAGGAAGTAGAAAGATGACTTCATGGTGAGTCATAGTGGCGAAAATCATGGAAGTAAAATAGAAATTCAAAATAGTGCACTTAGCATGCTTGAAATAAAATATAGTCCTTGTAATAATAATCCAATCAAACCTTATTATTCTAACTCATCGAATAAAAACAATAATAATTCAAATCCATAAGATATATCAGATCAACCAATTATTCAGCCATCACCTAAAAGAAAGACATCTTAAAGATTATTCATGCTATTAGGTAATGACTCAATCCTTGTACCAGACTTGCCAACAATAAACGAGGTTCCTGCGTCAAATAAAAATTAATTTAATAGTTCCAAAGATTCTCAAAATCACTTGAGTAAATTGCAAAAAAAGTATCTTAATAATACAACACCAATCAAGTCGAGTACTCTAAAGATACCTAATAACTTGAATAACTCATAGAATTATAACTAAAGATCCTAGTAGAATACAAGTAAGCCTCAGACAAGTAGCAGTAATATGAACTCTAAAACTCAATAGCAAAGCAAACATTAATATTAACCATTAAAACAGTAGCATCAAGATTATTGTATTAGTTCTATAATTGATAAAGTTGCTATAACATCACAGAAAGTAACAAGGAACGATAAAGAATTTCAGTAAAAAGATAGAATATATTATCCAGTCTCAAAGACTACAAAAGCCCCGATGAAAAATATTACTATGCTGTCTAAGTCTCCTAGATCTAAGCCTATACCTGTGTATTAATCATCTAATAGTAATAATACATCAATTACCACTTAATCTAAATCTCCAAACATTAAAAAAGGTGAAAGTAGTCTGAATTCAACTTTAAATAAAAGTGACAAAAAACCCTAGAAAATAAACAACCTAAAGAGTAGTAATAGCATTGCCAAAGGCAGTTTTATAAAGTTACTAAAAATTAATGAAAGTGATTCCAACAGAAATGAAAACTCTAGCAAATTAGAGAGTTTGAATACAAGTAATTCATTTGCTCGTTTACATAATTAATCTATCAAAAATATCAGAAACAAGGAATAATCATAGAAAGTTAATAAGAAGGAAGTGCTTGACCCAAATTTTTTTAAGAGATATCTAGAGGTATAGAGTTTATTGACAAGTAGTAATCAATTCACCACCAAGACAAGTAAGATTTAACCAACTGATAATCAGCATCATGCTTAATAGAAGATAACTTCTTCATTCATAATTGATAAAGAAAAGCTGCATGATATTTAATAATCAACAGAATCAATTTTAGTAGATTAACGACCTAAAAGTCGCAATCAATTGATGCCTGCTAATGCCACTTAAACTTTCGGAAAGTAATTTGAATTGAACACACAATTCTAAAATACTGCTCTAAAGTCGTTTAACAATATCACTCCAAGAAAAACCCTAGACTTTCTCAGTTCTTTAGAAATCAATAATAAACTCTCTCATTCTTTTATTAATGAGTAAAAAAGTACTTTAAAATTGAATTCTAGGAAAAACTTTGTTTCCCCTAACTCATCAGTTCTTATGAATAGACACTAAGATGCACTGAAGAAACTTCAGAAAAAGCAGTAAGACTTTTCCTTCAATCAAAGCGCAAGCATTGCTCTTGAAGAGGAAAACAGAGACAAAATGAATGATATATCTGTAGTAGATATAACTCCTGATAAAAATAATAGTTTTATAAATAGTACTAATTAGTAATAATAAAAAAGAAATCTACAGACTATAAGATCAAGATTACAACTAAACAGTTGCAAATCTACTAGCTTGATTCTTAATAGAAGTCTTAATTTTGATACAAGCCAATGATATTATCTTTATAGAAGGCTTATAAATGCGAAATATTAATTATAACATAATCATAACAAATATTAAAATTTGATTAAATTATGGGGTTTTGGGGTTTTGGGGTTTTGGGG